TCGTCGCATGGAGGACTCAGACGACGAAATACTGTAGCACACGTTTATTGTACTTAACACAGACAAAGACTAACTCTAACGGCCGACAGGGCCAACTATATACATATCCACCCAGCAACGCCCCCATTCCCATTGGAGGGTTTGAATGTCCCTCCAAGGTGGCTATTGACTGGGGCTGGGGGATCCAGGATCCGAAGTTTCCATTGTTCTAGGATCCAAGCTCTTGCCTGTGCCGCGGACCCTTGGTGGCGGTCTGCGTACATAACACAAGAGGCATCTCCCTATAAGATGTGCCTGTTCTGCATGATAACGGCAGTTTTACAGAAGCGTGGAAGTGACACACACAGGATCACACATGGAATTATACTGGCAGAATCCTCCCAAATGCTGCTATTTCTCTAAACTAAGGAGCTGCACGTTTTCACTCTTTCATGATAAGACTCTTTTTGCCATTTCAGGGATAGAAAAACTTCATGCTGGCCCACCCACTCCTCAAATACTTTGTGCTGACCCACTCACTCCTCTTCCCCTGCCCGATCTCAGGTCTGGGGATGAAAAAAACATAGTTGATGCTATATTCTGTTTCTCCTTCCTTTGCGATGATTCAATAGACTCCTCTTTCTTCCCCCGCACAGAACTGGGGGGCGGTTTCTGGCTCCCAGCCTGCTAGCTACTCAAACCCACCAGCAGGGAACAGAATGGTGAGTGGGATTTGGTCATGGGTGACCCAGCCACTGTGGGACCCACCCCTTCCTCCCATGGTCATGTGCTCAGTATTATGACTCTAGGCCTTGGGTGCTGAGAGTTGCCTCTGACACAAAGCCCCTTCTGTTTGCCAGAGCCTGTGCTTGAGAGAATCCAGTGTGCCTCGGAGGAAGGCGGGGGCAGAGGGCACATTGTTTGGAGCACTGCAGGAGATTGCAACAGTTGGATGTGATTACCCATCTCCCAAGGGAGGCTGTGGGGTAGGGAGGTGCCCTGCTAATGGAGTGTAGAGCACAATGGAAGCTGGGAATTGGGAGCCCCTGATTCTTTCCCTGGTAAATTAGTAGGGTCTAAGGCACAGAGGCCAGGGGAGCTGAGAGCCTGCAGCTCCTAGAAGGAACCAGAGATTAGTGGATGGATAGGATTGTTGGAGGCTCACCAGGAGGACAGTGGGGACCAGTGTCTGAGTACAAAATGGTTCAGGGGACACCTTTCATAGAGCGGGCAGAAAGAATTTCGTGCAACTTTAGAAGCCTGCTACATTCGTCATTTCATTATTTACAAAATGTATATCCTGCCTTTCTGCCCTCACGACAGCCGCTGAGGCAGCCAACAAATTAATTAAAACATACATAATAAAACCATTTAAAACCACCCTCCTGCAAAAAACACACACCACTAAAACAATTAAAAACAGAGCTAAAATACTTACAAGGACAAACAACAACAACAATTAAAACACTGGTCAGGAAGGAGGGGGTCACTGAGGGAATGCCAAATGAAACAAAGTCTTCACCCACTTGTGGAAGTTGGTGACAGAAGGGGACAGACGAATCTCTCTGGGAAGAGAGTTCCAGAGTTTTAGAGCCACAACTGAGAAAACCCTCTCTTGGGTTGCCATCTGCCGAATCCCAGAAGGCAGGGGCACCTGAAGCAGGGCTTCCAAAGTTGACTTTAGTGGTCGCGTCATCACAGTTGAATAAATGAAGGATATTGTCTAAAACCATTGTTGATCCCCGGCTTCAAAGCTGCCTTTTCTGTCCTAGTACACGGCACTCCCATCCATCTTTAAGAACAACATGGGAGCACCTGTTGAAAGACGAGCAGCTCTCATCCATATCTAGGGACCTAACCACGTTATGAAATCCTTGCATCCCCTATGTGTTTGTACCATTCCTGTAGACAGATATGCTGTGGGAGCTCTGTGTACATAATGGATATGCGGAGGCCCAGGTTGCATCAGGACCTTGGTGCATGTGGAGAGGGGGCCAAGGAGGAGGAGATTGGATTTATACTCCTCCCTTCATTCGGAGTCTCAGAGCAGCTTTCAAACTCCTTTCCCTTCCCCTCCTCACAACAGACACCCTGTGAAGTAGGTGGGGCTAACAGAAACTGCTCTTTTCAAGAATGCCTCTGACAGAACTATGGCTTGCTCAAGGTCATCCAGCAGCTGTGAGTGGAGGAGTGGGGAATCAATCCCGGTTCTCCCAGATCAGAGTCTGCACACTCAACAACTACACCAAACTGGTTTTACATGGTTTCCCTGACCTGAAACAATCCCAGGAAGCAGCTATTTGCCTCATTAGGGAAACTGAATGAGCTACCTGTATGTTTTTCCAGTGGGGCAAGTAACAGCTCCGCAGAGCAATTGGGGAAATGGCCAGAGGGACACTTTCCCTATGTGCACCTTGGAATTAGCACAGCACTCCCAGAGCATGCCTATCAACAGGATCAGAGCGGGCACATGAGGGAGACAACAAGGACCTTGTAATGTGTGATTATAGGTTCTACTTTGAGAGTTGTCTATTGGGCTAGGTTTGTGGCTCAAAAAAAAACTTTTTGAAGACTTGGCCTGAGTATTTCAGTTTAGGTACTTATTTATCACATTGCTATCTAGACTGTGCCTTAGCAAATTCCCACTTTAGAGTTTCTGCTGGTAGGCTTTTCCACCAAGATTCTGTTAAACCACTTTCCCAATGGAATTCAGTGTAGTGTGCCTCCCTCTTCCACCAGTGATGGGGAGGTCGAGGGGCAGTGCTACTTTCCTTTAGATGTGAAAGCACAAAATGGAGTCTCTGTCATGTCTGTCTTTATTTATGAATATACAAGCAAAGCCTATTGGAAGTCAGCCGATTCCTGAAATGAAGGAACAAAACCAATGATCCTGCATCAGATCGCCAGAGCCCTGCAAGTCTGCCCCCAGTATGAGCGAATACCAGCTAATTTTTTTTTGCTTTTTGCCTGGCTCTCTCTCTCCAAATTCAAGCTACAAAATTGGCTTTAGACTCTTTCCTTGCCCTCTCCCATTAGCTGGAGTGGATGGGTATTGCATTCCACAAACATTTCCACCTACCAAGGGATGTTACTGGCCTTTTGTTAATTTCGCCTGGCCGCTGATCAATTGCCCATGCACTGTACTGAAGACGGCCCAAACTCATCACACCAGCATTCAGTGCAAGAGTGAAGGGAGGGCTTTGTCTTGGCAAGACTCAGCAGCTGAGAAGGTGGCAAAGAGCCGGGCTCAGCAGAGGGTGAGAAAATCTTGCTGGCGGCAGGCAGTGGGCCATTGGCAAGGCCTCAGAGTCCCACGGGCGGGTGGCAGCAACTCCACCGGACCGTTCCCTGTGCTGGGAGGGAAGAGGAAGAAGCCAGGCGTACAAAAGGCAGATGGGCTGACCGTTGAGTGGTCTGTCCCCAGGAGACCCCTCAGATCGCTGTCAGGCAGCACACAAAGCATCCAAGCCATCACTACTCATTAAGGTCCTCTGGCAGTGACGCCAAGACCAAAGCTAACTTGACTATGGGCCATCTGGTCCTGCAGCTTTCCTTCACCACTGGTGGAAGGGTGTTGTGCTAATATCACTGCATTGCTTAGATGGTGGAGGGCGCAGGAATGGCACTTCCAGGAATTTACTAGAAAGGAACGGCAGGGCCAAGGAACGGAAGCCAGGACTCACCTTCTCTCTCCCCCCCCCCCAGCTTCCGCTGCCTAGTTTCTGGCTCAGAATGAGATCCAGTGAATTAGATCTAGCAGTCAGACCCAAAGAACGCTATTTCCACACCTCTGTGAAATGTTCATGCCAGATCAGAGAGTCAAACATTCATTTTGGGCAGTGTGCTTGCAGATGCAGCCAATGTTTCCTCTCAGCTGAGTTAGTGTGAGCTAGCTTACAGTTTTTTAGCCTCCAGCTCACACATTTTTGTCTTAGCTCGGGAAGGATGGCTCCAGACTCAGAGCAGTGGCCAAATGGCTGGCTCACGACTTTAATGCCAGTAGCTCACAAAGTAGAATTTTTGCTCACAAGACTCCACAGCTTAGAGGGAGCATCGGCTGCAGCCAGTGGCAAGTGGTGCCTTTCGTGCCCTGAGTGGCAAGGTCTCAAGGGGCAGCACACCTGGCTTTCGCGAGGGGGCACTGCTGGGGTCTCACCTAGAGAACAGTCTGTTCTTGGGCACTGCTGCCTTTTCATGAAGACCCCTCACCCCACCCACCCTGCTCCCAGCTGGTGCTTGGGCAGTTGCTGGGACGCTGGCTTCGCATCAGGCACCTGCTCAGACAGCTGGCCAGCTCATAAGCCTGCGAAGAGAGCCGGAGCTGCTTGGGATGCTCAGAGAAGAGGCCAGCATTCCAGAACGGAAGGGACTGCAGAGGCGGACGGGCCAGAGAGGGAAGCCAGGAATACTTTGAGCCGCAGGCGGGATAAAACTTCATCTGGAAGAAGAGAATCCGTGAGTTGCTAGAAGGCCCGGAGAGGACTCCTGGGTTCTCTTCCCAATCTTC